CCCCCGCACTGAAAAAAGTCTGAAGCGCTAACAGAGGATCGATGCTGCGACCTCCCCGCTCTGGTGGGAATGCAGCCAGGGTTAATATCACCTCGCCCCATCGCCAGCTTATTTTTGGTGCACGAACAGCATTTGCACGAAGAGGTCAGGTTGCAAGAAATACAACGGCCCAATTACAGTACAGAACTCGCCTAAACTTGGTGCTCTGAGAAGATTTTATGAAGCCGGTTACCTTCAAATGTTCAACTCTAAATGTATCACACGTCCAGTTTAATATGCTTCATTTTCAATACACAGATTCCCAATGCGTTAAATGTGTCAGATATAACCTCAAAATATTTGCAAAAATCTTCACGGGAGCATACTATACGTTTATTTACGTCACTAACTTAGGGGTAGAACGCACGTGCAATGTAAACCAAAGACATTACCGACGTAGGAAATGCGTGAGGGAGCTACAAAATACTGTTTTTCTGGGCGGAGAATTGGCCCGACCTTCAAGCAAAAGTTATAATACGCGGTATAATAACATCCGCTGACTCAGTTTTCCATTAATTTTTGTATTTCGTATCATTCTCGTATTTTTATTATTTCATAGTTAATACAGAACTTAGTGTCCAAAAGTGTTGCTGCCTGTTCACAAGGCTAGGATAAATTAACAACAAAAGAACCAATTAATTTCCTCGAAACAGGTGTAACGAAGACACACCTTCCATTAGGAAATTAAACCCGTATGTGAATATACATGTGGAGCTTCTACATAAACATCGCAGTATAAGATAAATGGCGGTCGCCTGGCTTTGATACGAACTTTGTTCATCTGCAAAGGCCACGGAATAATGCGATATTCACCTGATTCAATTACTCCTGAATACTCCATCATTTCTTTGACAGCCATTTATAAACTACTGTAGCAGCCGTCACCAAATTGAAAAGTCATACAAAGCTGAAAGACAAACAGAGAGTCCGGGCGACTGATGACAGCTCAGAACTCGCAGCGCATGAAAGCTAGCAACACTGCGCTGGTGAGTCAGGGGTGTTTGATGTATGACGTGGCAGTGGCTCATGTAATTCAGTGACGGCTACTAATGATAAGTAAAAATAAACATCTCATTGGTTTAACAGAAAAATTCACAATCGTGTAATACAAAATATTTCCAGTAGCAGACAGGGCTCGATTAGTCCACCGTCGTAAATCGAGGACTAGTGATTTAATCACGCTGTGATTAAGAGGGTGACACGATTACTCACCTCGTCTGTAACCTGGCCTGCTTTAAGCTGGAGTTCCTGAAGTTCTGAACGGGGAGCGCCGTTCTCCGGGGCGGGTGTCACGTTCGTCGGCATCTTGGCGGAAACTGTAAAAGAAAAAAACAGCGGAAAATCACTGAAGAAGGAAGGCACATGATCAACCAGTATCTTGCTCTCAACTACATTGTGGTCGGAGCGAATGTTGGAAAGCCTGCAGTAGCATATCTACTGTCCACAGACCAGGAGAAAAGCCCTGCGGTGGGAATGTTACTTATCAGCTGGACTAGAGGGCTGCTATTGGTGGGAAGTGTGATACGTCAGAGTTTAAGGCTACTACCAGACTGAAAACATCAAGCAGTTAAGAGTAGCGTGTAGTGAGTGCACCTCTAATGTGTTCTGCGGGTGTTGCGATAATATTCTAGATTAAATCACTGTGCCACTGTGAAGTAATCTTAAAGCTGTACCCATTAAAACACATGAAAGCCTGTCGTCTGTTGTTCGTTCAGTGGTTGTGGAACGAATGCTTTTAGGATCGGTCGTCACTCACCGCGAAATCTTGCGCATGCGCGTATATCGAATTCCTAGCAGGGATTTTCTCGTGGTCTGTGGACTGTAGTTTCTGCCGTTCTCGTATGAATGAACGTAAGCGAAAAAGTTTACTCAACTGGAGAGCTTTGTTTTTTCAACTGAAAAGCTAAATGTACTCTATACAACACACTCCAATATACTAATACACTGAAAAGTGTATTATTATATTAACAGGAGACTGTTTATGTATGTCTGTCTGTCTGTCTGTCTGTTACGCGTAAGTTATTACAAACGTTGCCACGGTAATGTCAAGAACGAGTTTAATGTTAATTTTACGTAAATGGAAAGATAAGCATTCATAACATCAATAAATTAATCAAATATAAAGTGCAACCTTCAACACACGAATATAAGGGGTAAAGGAGACGAATAAATAAGGCGAGATATTAAGATAGGAAGGAGATCATTCGTAGTTGAATTTCAACGGTTTTTACACCAGTTTTAATCAACAGCACACTAATCTTAAATCAGTAGTGTTTGCTAATTAAAACACACAGCATGAAGGTGGAAAAGAAAACAAAGGAAAACGAAATGCTGTGTTTTGTAGCTACTGAAGGGTAATAATTCACTCAAACACTGAGACTTCTCAGGTTTGTCCTGACGTCTTTTCGTTGTAAAGAACATTCTTTACGCATCCTGAAAACGGTATATTAATTCTGCCAAACGCTTACCACAAAAACTTGTTAGCTGAATGTCTGTAGTCTAATCCAAATGTAATCAAGTTCTCTGGTGAAATGCTCAAAACAAAACCATGAAAGGTCAATGAAAACATTCTCGCTGAGATTCCTGGATTCATGGGCCATCCTCATCCCGACCCAGGCAATGTCGCATGCAGTAGCAGCGAAAGGGCTTGCATGGTTACAAGTTAGGAAAATCAATAGCAAGGCAATAGACCATCTAGTTAAATATCCACCCGCGCTTTGGCCAGGGAACGCAAACAATTCCGCAGGACAATGTTCAAAACAGACACATCGTATCGATTTAAATTTCATACCACGAACAAGGAACCAATAATTACCTTCGAAGAGGTTCCCTAACTCTTCCACATCGATCCCGATCCGGCCCCCGACTACAAATAATTACCCACCCCTGACCTGAAGCATAAAAAGTTAATAGGTATGAAAGGGTTACGATGAAAAGTATGGTCAATAGCAAATTTCGACGCACTCCATCCTTTTTAAGTGTCTAGTGCTTCTGAGGAGTGAGCCATGAGGAGCTGACGGACAACACATCGCTCTACAGAGAAAGTCTTCCCATTGTGTCCGCGTACAATGCGACACCTGCAAGAATGACAGAATTTACCACGTCACGAACTGAGATGTACAAAGCGATCGAGACTTCCACCTGTTCTGATGGCCTGAGACACGCCTAGCCATCAAAACAAAGGAATATCATTCTCGCGCAGTTTTCGGAATTTGTACGGAACGTTGAGGAAAACGCGGAACCCATTGGAGAATGCTGGTCGGAATGATTTGCACATAAGAGCACAGGACAAATCGCGTAATCAAACTCTTGTTTTAATACAACACTTTGTCAATAAAACAACATCCAAAAACAGAAACAAAACACTCACGAAACACACTTCAGACTTGAACTGCAATTCAGAACTGAAACCCGAGAAAAATATTTTCAGAAAGACGTGACCAAGACTTCCACGAGCCGCTCGTAAAGGTCGCTCAAGCGTCAATTAGTTTACCTGCAAATAAGATTGATGTATCAACTCCAATTACTTGTATTACCTGTTTTATAGATCACCGAGATGGAGCCCGCCCAACCAATTTCAGTATTATTTGCATTTTTGTAAATAAACCTGATGTCAACTGCATTTCCCTCGTGGAAGTTGAGAAAATTACGTACACAGTCAGCACAGTTACATTTCTGATATTAAAAGAGAAATATTCGGATGTGACCGATCAATAAATCGAAAATAAAACATTCCCTGATTCCGAGGGATGATCCTCGCACCCTGTAATTCCATCCCGATGGGCTCTCGTTCTGCAACCGCTCCTAATCTGGCGCCATGCCAGGGGTGACTGATTACAAATTCACTTTCCATGTACATGACCATGTTTCTTGTATATGGAACTCACGGCGAGCATAATGTATTTAGGTAAGGAAGCATGCGCAATTACTCCCATTTACCCTAAGCAAATGGATATATTTACCTTTTACCCTGCCGGAAAAAGTTGTGTCATTAATGTACCAAATATTACTTAGAATTTTTACAGCGCCTTGACATTTTATTCCGCGAACACAGCGACACACACGCACTGAGGAAAATATCGCATTTAATATCGAAGGGTGGACATCCTAAGATCAGTTCTGCACACCTGCCAGGTATAATGAGACGTCGATCAATCGACGTGATAATCGGAACTATACGAAGTTCAAACGATCATAAACGATGGGGTATTTTACGCATGTGAAGTCACAATTTGACTGATTACATGTTTGTTACGTAACAAGCTCGTAAGAAATGAAGCAATTTGAAACACGCGTCTCCTTTAAATTACAGTGTGTGGTCGTGAAACCATAGATCGGGAAACTCCTGAAAATATTTAATGCTCCATTACGACACGAGGAATTCATTTAATTAATATGATATTATATAAAAATGGCAGAGAATTATCACATTAATATAGCCGCAACCTGACAACGACGACTGAATGACAGAGGAAGTCGGCACCTCTGAAACGTCGGTCAATTTCTCCGAGACTAAATGGTAAAAAAAAAAAAAACTTTTTTAGGCCGGTTCAAAATAGAAACAAACACAAATTAACATAATTTCTACTAGCAAATAGACTTCGCATGTTCATCACTAATTGTATCGTGTTAATTGCAGAGTTGCCAAATTAGTCTATAAATTGGTGATACCTGACAGGCCTATCACCTTTTCTAGTCCTCTCTATATTCTATACTCTTGAAATTCGTTTCATCTTAATTCACGATTCAATATTTAACGATGATGATCTACAAATGTTGATAATTGAGGTTTTCTCGGTTCCGAGGCAATTCTCTTCCAGGTTTTGGAGCCGTGTAAACTTGAACCATTGGCATCTACTGGCAAGTCCACGAGGTACCAAAATCCAAAAGAACATCATTAAAAATTTTGATACTGACAAGAGAAAAAAGTAATGTTGCAACTTACTGCAGGCAAATCCCAGGAAAATCCAACAAGAGCTATTGTTTACCACGCACTCCCTCGACTGCCTTGGAGCAAACAAATGAATCTCAACACTCCTTTGTTCTCCTCCCGCCATGTACTAATGATAACAGTAATTAGACGTGTAGTGTTAGTGGCGAATGTAAGCACTGATCTGCTCGTAACCTGAGTAGACATTTCACACACTTTGTGCAAAGTATGCGTATAAAAAATTAATCTAGTTTAAGCAACAAACAGGCCACCAGCAAGTCAAGAGTAGAATTTTTCCTACGACAGTGAAAGGTCGCAGAAAATGAACGAAGTGATAAACCACAAGAGTGAAATTTCCCATGATTCTCAGCTCCTCCCCACATGATCTGTCAAATACAGGCGAAGCACTGCGCACTATTTTCAATAAGATTCACAATCATTCGCCAGGAACCGGTTGTCACGTTGTAATTGTTTTTTAAAACTGTCTGCTACAGACACTTTGCCAATAACAAAATCTTTCTTCTGCATTTTTATAAAAAAAAAAAGGAAAATTCTGTAAATGATGGTAAACTTAGTTGCCTGCGGTAACTATTTTTTTCGGGTTAAACATTCCAAAATTCAACATAGATTACCTGTTCACTTACCAGTTCAATGTTTTATCAAGTACCAACATCAGATAAATTATTTAAATGCCACTACGTAGCGAGTTTCTGCCTACGTATCAGGTTATTTAACGAGGCTGTTTCAACTACATACGCCTACATTATACAGTGTCAATGAGAAGAAAGATTATCCTGAACGGTGGATAGGCTAATATTTTTAAAAGATAGATGTGGCATGTTTCACAATATTATCCCGACATTCCCATGGAGAGACTGAGAAAAATTACGTGAAACCTGTCATATAGTCGACACACAGCCCAAGTGAAATTTGCACAGACTACCTTCCGAATAAATATCTAGAATCTTCGGCTACAATAGATACTCTACAGTATCTCTGAAACTTTTAAATACAATTTTCTGTGTCAAGGTTTGAGAAGCTTGAAATGAATTATTAAGCCAGAAGCGCCAACTTTCAAAGACTAAATGGTTATTTTAATAGTTACAAACTCATGCAACGGAAATACTGATAATTCTTTACCGTTAACATATAAGATTTAATTTATATTCTGTATAACCAACTTACAAACGGCACACTTTCACATGTTTCAGCCTGTTATCTGTAAATAAGTTTTCTCGGTATAAAATAACTATGAGTAAACGAACTTCACAAAGAAATTACTTCAGGCAAATAAAAAAAAACACCTAAAAAGAACCAATTACAACCTAGAAATACACACATACGAAACAATTCCTCCAATCTACAGGCTTTACATATTGCAGAGTATGCACTATGAAAATGGGAACTTATGTTCAGAAACTGATAAAAAATAATGCTGCTAAGTTCCGCAGGCAACGGAAACGCGGAAGACCTAAGCTACCGGAAACGTAGGCCAAGAATCATCAAACAAAAGAAGGGTACATGGCCTTGAGATAGCTTATCACTTATCGCATTAGATACCACACAGCAGCAAAATAAATTATCTCTTAATATTTCATCAAGTATTCAACACATCTAACATTTTTTAAACAAAAGCTTTACATTTTCATTATAATTTATATTATTTTCCAAACAGTACTTTTAATAACGACCCTTTTTTAAATAAAATCGATAAAGCATTATTTAACCTTCGTGTAAAAAATAATTATATGGAAACGACACGAGCTAAAATTAAATTCATCAGCCAAATATCAAATTTAATCTAAATTCAGAAATAAACACACTCGGAGACGACGTCCAGTTTTTTTTTTTGCATTAACTTCCTGTACTCAGGCGTGAAAATATAAAATTCTGCACAACGTTTCTGCAGTAGTGACGTGTACTTACTGTGGTCAGCGGCTGAGATGCAAGATGAGTGACCAGCCCACAATCACGTAAGTATTGTCACCAAATCTTAAAACGAAAAAAATTGCACCAAGACAAAGATGTGATTCATACGAACTCTCCAGGTCCGACTGAACAGTACCGGAGGGGCGGCTAGCTACAGGGGCGGTAACTACCCTCTCTCCTTCTCTCTGTCTGTTCCCTTACCAGGCGTGCCCTGCTCAAATCCTGTGCTAGACTGCCGCAAGCTCAAAGTCGCGTCAATTCCCGACGCTTGGCTCAGCCTTTCACTATTCCATTGATCCGTTCTTGCTGCACTAACTAGTTCAGTTAGAGCTCTAGGCAACCATCAGCGGCTTGCTGCTAGTGACAACTTGCTCCAAAGGGACAGACATTACAGACAGAAACAATTGTTTCGCTGAATTTTTATCCATACTAAACAAAAACAGATGCAATGGGATTCTGAACATTGTTGGTGTTTGATGATGTCGGTAAACCAAGGGCGATGTGTTCATGTCAACCACGTCAGCCAGGCTAACACCTTAAAAATGATTTTCTGTCGAACGTTAGTGGTTCAGTAGGTAGCAGCAGAGCAAATCAGATAATAAATGCAAAGTTAGCAAGGTAGTTGAGGCTGCATGACATGAAGGCATGCTCCCTCCACCAAGGAGGCTGCAAGTACCTCTGAAACGTCCGCAAACTTCTACCAGACTACATGGCGCATCAGCCCAGAAGACAGCCATCTTCATTCTCAACGCCTTGACAATGCGAAATATCACTTCTTTATTACCTATTCACAAGGCTTGAAGGCAATACTGGCACATCACAAGCAAGTCTATGCATTTATGACTACACGGGCATTAATTCAAACTACGTTAAGTGGAAATTATCATCAACGTTGAGACACAACTAAGTACCACTTGTATGAATATTAAATTCCTCTCAGAGTAAAGTTACTAACATTCCGGCAGTATTGGGCTTACGTGCCCAGTAAAGATAATTTATTCAAGAAGTAAACTCTTGCAAAAAGAGCAGTAGGATGTTAGGTCAATATCGAAACAAAGTCGAGACCCTCTATTTGAGACAGTTTCAGATACACAAATTAATCAGTACAGAAGAAAATTTCCAAAACTTAACAGCAACAGTGGTATGTAAACAACAATGGAACTGGTTCGTTTCTTTCTTTGTGAATAAGCATCATGTAACAATTGATAGATTAACCTTGTTTTAAAAACGTAGCCTGTTTTACGTCGCCTACGTTTACATTGATGTTACTTATGATAACGACGGCGTAGAAGGCTACGTAATTCACTGCAATTTTATATTTCAGCCAAGAGCTTTCAGAATACAAAGGTTCAAAGAACGTTATGTCGAAACTGTGTATTCCAATGCGCATTATACCGTTTAAACATTTTATTACATAAAGAAATAAATATAAAATGACGCTGTGAAGTGTGGGTAAAATCCTGTCAAGAGTGGGTTTACAGTCTCTTTTGAAGGAATAAACTGCAGTACATTCACATAAACTCTAAAAGAAGCCGACAGGTGCGTCATCAGATACTGACGTCATCGTTAAAAAGTTGTGATGTCGTGACTAAACGCTGGGACAAGATGAAGGGGGAAGTACGAGGGTTTGTAAACACGACGGATGGGAAAGGATGTGGAAGGAATGAAGGAGATAAAGACACGGAGGAAAGAAATCGCGAGGGGGGATGACGATCCGATGGACAAATGAAAGGAACTGTAAAAGAATTAGGGACAAATACAGCTGATAGTTATAGGAAGGGACGAATTCATTTGGTGACGTCACCAGCTCATACATAGCATCGAATGCTACGATTAATAAACTCCTAATAATGTGAAATAAAGCGGTAGTAACCTCTGTCAAGGGTCTGTCGCAGTATTTTCCTAGAGGACCTGAACAAACTCACCGCAAACCTGTCAGGATAACCGGTTTCTGGACGAAATGTGAGTCAGAGACCACCAGGGTACGAAACAGAAGTACTAACCACTCGATTGCGACGTTTAGTCAAAAGGGATAAAGGAAGGAGAAGGTCCTACGAAGGAAATAACTGTCCGTTTGATTTAAACTGGCTTTTACACGTGTACGACTTTGTAACAAGCTTGAAAGACGTGTAACAATTAGTGAAGACAAGCTCCTCCTCTGTTAAAAAAACAAATAGAATTGTACGCAAACAACGTAAACCTCAGCGCAGCCAATCTAAAAATCCAAAAATGCTTCCTGAAAAGAAGAAACAACGTTCTTTTACTTCAGTGATAATAGTAACAACGGTCGAAGTAACTGAATTCGATTGCAGTTCGCTAGGTTTCGATTTGTGTATAAGTTGGTAACAGTGCATAAATAAATCGTGTTAAAAAAACACGAACGTATGTTTTTACATCGTCTGCGATCGATTACTACATGCAGACGATACTTCACGTAACGCTTCCGATATATATATACAGACATGACACATTTCTTTTTATGTCAGCTAAGAGCATTCGGAACGCAAAAGAGCGAACAACGTGTGAAGAAACAATGTGTGTTCCAGTACGGATTACATGTATTCAGATCCACGCTCCAAATCTGTCGGCCTTATTCCCCATTGACGCGCCACGACTTGGTGACAACGTACCCTAATAAAGCAGCCGGAACTGATACATAGCTCAGTTTCAATCACGTGCATCAAATCGGATCCAATATCGACAATGCTCACCGACGTGGCAACCCTGTGCAATGTCATACCATGCTCCACGGATGCTGTAAAAACCCAACCACCATCAGAATCAATATCTGTGGCGGAATTAAACGACAGGAGCACAGCTATGCGAGACTTCACGGAACCAAACTATTTATGTAACCCACCCCCCACCCCATGTCATAAAACTTCGTGAGAAGGGAAAACGTGGGCATGCGCAGAATAAGTATACTCATTAAAGGCATAAGGGAGGTCATGATACAACTCAGTTCGAAGTGAACACACTTCTTCTTTTGATAAACATTAAACATAATTGTAAATATGCATCTGGCAGCAGAGTGAACACAAAATGTGTCCAATGTACTGACTTGATATCAACATGTACAAATTATTTGTGTCCATTTATGTCAATAAAATTCCTGAGTACCTTTCTCAATTGCTTTTCTTTACATTTAAAGTGACAGAAAATTAACATAACTGAGCCATATTTTGTAACCAGAATTGGTGCACTGATTTTGCAGCTGTTAAAATTCTGTACAACTGAAATTTTCAGTCCTGAAGACTGGTTTTAAGCACAGGAATGTGAAATTAAAATCAACTTACCTTATTCAATTAAGATTTCCAAGAAATTGTTCCTGATGGCTGAGAACTAACACCACCTGTAATGAATGCAAATAATAATTTATTATTCAGAAATTGTTCATATGACAATTACTTTCTTATTGAAACTTCCAAAACATTAATCTGAACATTACAATTTTTAAGGTATGACCATACACATATGACAACAGAAATAAACTACATGGAGGACACTGTTCAATGGTGCAACTGACAGTATGCTCAACCAGTCAATAAATTCCCTGCCTTTTATAGAACCCAAAAGTTCACTACTGCATTCACACTAGCCCTTGCCACTGGCCCAACCAAATTTATTCAGTCCACACTCTCCGCTCTCCCACCCAGTTTCCATCAGATCTATTTTAATACTATCCTCCTACCTAGACTTACGTCTTTTGAAAGCACGCAATGAAAAGATTTGTCCAAGAATATTCAATAAGAAAATGCAAATTAATGTTATTGTGTCACAAACTTCAGGTGCATGAAAGGAAATCACTGCTTGGATTTCAAGAAGTTATTACCAACAGAAGTCTTACATTAGCACTGAACCCTCTACAAAGAAGAACTGACCTCAAATAAGTTTCAAACAGTGAAACTAAATGAGAGTTTTCACAAATGACTTGGATAGCCACATCAAACTGGGCTTGTCTTTTAACAAGTATCATATTGCAACAACTTTGTTGGTTGTTCAGACATAAGTGAAATTTTATCAAATGAAGTATGTTGATTCTTGGTTAGTGACAAATCATTCAGCCATTGATATGAACAATAAGGTCTGATATCACACATTCTATTCCAAGGACAAAGTCTTGGAAGTTACATAGAATATAATGTTTTTGACAAGCAACATATTGTATGATTATGAACTGGGAAAGAGCAAAGATTAATTCAAAATGAAGCAATGTTTATAAAACTAGGCCAAAAATTTCATTCTCATTTTAACACCTCCTTCCTCCCATTTTGGTTCATCTTAACACAAACTAGGACAATGTAAGTGGACCTTAAATATACCAGTAGTACATAATCATCTACAGTAGAAATGAATACTAGCTCATTTAACCCATCCCTTAGATTTATTGTCTGTAATACAACAGACACGGACAGAAAATTGTTTACAATATGTGGTCCACATCGTAGCTCCTTCCAAATTCAACACAAATTAATGGCTTCCAAACATCAACAATTTAAACAACAAAGTAGGGTTATGTCATTAAATAACAATATCAGACAACACACGGTTCAAAAACACAGGCAACAAACTGACCTAAGTGAACTACGTACGATTTGACGACCCCTCCCTTCATGCCTGTGTGAAATAAAACTCATAAGAGAGTTCACACTTGCTCTTGACACATAGACATTATCCATCGAACTATACATACCTTTAACGAAATTCGTGTAATGAAATCAGATCTGTTCCTAATAACGAAAAGTATGTCGTGCTTCAAATGACATCGACTGCCAGCACACCGTGCAGACAGTATCACAGGCCGGAGGATGATAGAAACCGTATACAATAACGGAACGAAAGTAAATGTTCATCAATAATTTCCTTCCACGAGTCTGACACAAATTACTACTTACGAATTTAATGTGGATTTACATATCTACATATAAATCAATAATACGTTATTCGTTACTTCTTGAACTACACCCTACCTGAAAACCTTCAGCTCCCACGAATTGCTTAAACACTTGTTTTTGATTTCTGCCACAGATAGCAGAATGAACAATAATGTAGTGTTATCTGTTGATGATATTTATAACTATTAGTAATCACTGCGTGAAAGTGTTACCAATACTAACAATGATAAAGATTTACTTAATGTGTACAAATACTACAAAAACGTATTTACGTAATAACGTTTAAATTGATATTTTTAATATGTGACACAAGTGTAATGGCGTCTCATTATATAAGTGTTCCCCAGCGTTGTCAAGACAACTTCAAATTGGCATATTATAAAACATGCATATGCACATGATTATAAACTTAAAATATTATCTCCAAACTAACCCCTTCTACTCCGTAAAATAATTTATAGCAATTACTTCTGCTGTAATACCACAGTAGACTGTAAATCACTGTCACAAATATATATATAATATATATTTGTATTAGAAACAAGTATTGTATTTGTGCTACTGCATGCTATACCTTTGCTTAGGAATATTAAGAATCTATGATTAAAATCTACAAATCAACAAAATAGGGAACAGTTAAAATAGTAAGATATAAAGAACAATAGAACTATAAAATAATTAGTTTCTGCTTCATGCTACTAGCGCAAAATGTGGGATTGTACAAGCATTACTATGTTTGAAAATCAGACATATATCCACCATATGAAAAAAAATCTATACTAAAATGAAGATCACATATTTACCACATACATAGTTCAGGATTTTAATTTAAATGTCTTCTGTAATCCTCGAAATGTAACTTTTTATTCTAGCTTGCACTTGGCAGGAAACTACAATGAACCTTGTCACCAGAAATTCTGTACGTAATTCCATAACCTTTAAATTCTAACAATAAGCTACAACACACCACTACTCATCCCTTAACAAATACAAACATACAGATGATAATGGGGGGGGGGGGGGGGGGTGGGAAAAAAATGATTATTTTCAGACTCAAGGGTTGCAGACACTTAATACTACAATTATACATACAGCAAAACTATGAGTTATGCTACACTAAATTAACATATGAAAAGAAAAATATTTTATTTGAAATATAGACATATATATAAAAACAAATATAAACACTTAAAATTCACTGTACTCTATAAATATGTCAACATTTCTGACATATTTCAGAGTTGACATAGAGATATTTTTCACATTTGTGTGTCTGAGGGCAACTAAACAAGCAATAGAAACACTTATTCAGTACACAGACAATGGAAGTGATAATTAAAAACAAAAACAAAAAAGGCACTAAAATTTTCAGCATGGGGGAAAATTTAATACCAGTAACTCCTGCAGTTATCAAAAATCATAGCTTAGCTTTACCAACACAACTGAAAAACATGTAAATTCCTTATCTGTTTAACAAGTAACAAATTACATAAAACAGTTGCCATTAGTACAAATGTTCAATGTGTTTTAAAACAAATATTTTAATGAATTTACATATTAAAAACATGCAGTGCTGTTGCTAATATAAATTTATGTTTTTATATTCAATATATTACATACTGTACATCTTTTGAACAAATACTCCTTTATGAACAGTGTAAGTATCTCACTTTACTAGCCTCCATATTTACTCATGTGTAGAAGATTTCACATACAAACAACACATTTCTTCAACACTGACATAAACACATAATCCAGTAAATTTGCAAATATATTTATATCAAACAAGTGCAAGTTCCTGTAAAATAATTTGTAAACCAATAGATTACAGTTTCAGATATATCAAAAATCTCTTTAGTAAATAATTCTTAGTACATGAGAAAATATTTCTTATGACAGGTTATTTTCAACAAACACATAAATGCATCAATAATTTCTTTAATGCTCATGTAATTTATATAATTTCCTACAAAAAGTACTTTTATGTATGTGACATGTACTTTATGTGTGCATAAATGCAACTGATACAATTACACACAAAACACAATATTTGTAATCAAACTGTGTGAAATAAAATAAAGAATAATAAAGTGGGGCATCTTACGGCAGGAAAGAAGATTTGCTTTGTTTGTAAACAAATTATGGAAATACTTGGATAAATTAAAATGTTTTTTTATCGCATTTAATGCAGATTCAAAATCATTAAGAAAATCCAAATTTGCAAAGCAGAGCATGATTCACCCACAAGTATGATAAGTGCAAGCTATAAGAACTAACAAATATGGTTTGAATTAATCATAACAAAAAGCTTTGTGAATTTGTACAGTGAAATATGAAAAATGCAAAACAATATTATCTTCCCACATAACATCCAGAAGCCATAAATCCATAAACAAATCCAAATCAGTTGTACATATAACCATTACACAATCACAAACACTTTAAATACAGACATGAATTTAAAACTAAAGTGGTCCCCCAGCTACTATAAGTACCACCAGTTTTGACTGAATATTCAACAAAAGGGTATGAGCCTTTCTAGTTGTATACAAAGACCCATGTCAGATATATCCATACTTACTTGCAAACATGAGACATTGTGCAATTACATGTTTAAACATCATGATTCACTTACTTGCAAACATGAGACATTATGCAATTACATGTTTAAACATCATGATTTCAGCATCTAAAAAGATGCGCGTTCCTTATTCCAAAGTGAGTGAGAGATTCTTGAAGAAACTACATGTGTCTCTAAAATGCCTGTGAACAATTAATGGACATCAAAGTTTCAGGATCCTAAAGTGAAGACAAAGAATATTTATAGGACATTTACTTTCATGCTCAAGTGGTGAACATATTTCTAAAATTTCTGTGCGCAAATCTTTTCTTTCTTAAACAAAGCATGAAGTCTGCGTAATTAGACATTACAAGTGACTGTAAATGACCACTACACAGCGTAAGTCATGAGAAAACATCTGAGAAAACTTTTATTTCATATGAGTAATTGAAACTGTAAGTCAACTGAAATCTGGAAAGAACACTGAAATTGAAAGTACTGGTATCCTATAAAATGGGTATAAATTGCATTCAGTTCAGCAAATATACAAAGAATTGATCATGATACACATGTTAAGGTTTGTAATCATAATTTGTAATGATGCGAAATTGCCCATTAACTTTTCCATGTTTGTCTACATATCTGTCAATCCATAAGCGTAACACTGATACAAATGAACATATTTGTATGAAATTCCATATTCTTGGTCTTTACTAAAACTTACCAATCACAAGAAATTATGGTTAAAATCAAGTATGTACTAGCTTTGTATATCAAGATTTACCTGCATAAGCTATAACTAAAAGAAAGTTACAATTTGGCGACAAAATGCAAATAAGTTAAAGATAAATGATGATAATATACTGATGTTTCCACGAATAGGTCACCTTTTGTTGCACACTTCTTCAGTCTTCCCAATTATCCCATTAAGATTTTTTTCTATCTGTGTCTGTCTTTTCTTCCCTCATTTCATTTTTAATAATGTTAACAAAATATATTTTAATTTGATATTATTTTTTCCCCTCATACTCTTTGGTTCTCCAATTACATAAATAAACCAACATTTAAGGTTTTATGCCAGATATATGAACAGTGACAAACAAATGTGTAGAAAATTAACACTTCACCTTTCATCTGTGTTTTGCTTCCTTAAGATGGCACCGTAATTCTTGTGGAAACGCCCACGCTTCTAGCTTATTGTTGTCTTTGATTCCTGCAATAATCTGAAAGAGAGTAAATAAAATATCATATCAAAGGATATACATGAATATGCCTTTGAATGATAAGGATTTCATTATTGACTTTTATACCCTGCATCCTTCCCTCTTCCTCTATACAAGTGTGTATGTATGTGTGTGCGCATGCACATGCACACGTGTGTGAGAGTGCATGCATATCCATGTATGCACACATCAGCTACTCACCCTGTTTTTGACAATATCCATGCATAAAAGCATCTTTCCTGGTCCTGGAATAGACGTGACTAGTTTTTTATCCTGAAAAAATATTGAAAACCAAATGAATATACTCTCAATATGTGAATAACTGCTGCAAAAATTTACAAAATCTCATTACACACAGACATATATAATTATTAAAACAGTCTTACCTGCTGTAAACAGAGTACATTTTCATCTCAGAGTTCTAAAAATCTATATGACACTCCAAAACCACTAACAAAACAATCTCACTCCATACAGCATAGACTTTCTTAAGCAACTAGCAGGTTCAGTTAATCAAGAAATTCCCCACAATCTATGGAACTGAAAGGTACATCGTGGTAAAGGGGGGGGGTGGGGGGGGGATAAATAAATAAATAATAATAATAATAATATACCCCACTACCAGCCCATGTCCTGGGCCAGATGAATCAGCCCAAACCCTCCAACCCTATTTCCCTAATATCCATTTCAATATCATTTATGTCAAGTTCTTCTGAGTGATCTATTTTCTTCATGCTTTCCAACCAAAATTTCTTTCACAAAATTCTGAACAATTAATTGCTCAAAACGTAAGGACAGTAATTTTAATTTGATGACAAACAGTGTCTTTCCGGGAAAAACACAACAAAGTCCAATTTTAACAGAACTGAATATCATGAAATAAGACTCTTACATGAATACTGAAGACGTATATGTTTCCATCATAGCAACCAGCAAACAATAAGTTGTTATATATCCTCATGCACACAACGCCCGAGGCCGTCTTGAATCTGCACACTTCATCACCAGTCTGAAAATATATATACAAAGGACCTACAGAACCTGAAGGTTCATTACAGCAACAAAGAAATCCTGACACTAGATTCTATTCTGAACAATCGCCATTTCAGACACTGTGTTTCAACACACCAGTATATTTAAACGCAATGGCCATCTTCTTGGCCAAATTTGAATAGGCTTTAACTCTGCTCAAGTGGCATTTACTTTGAAGTTGATCAGTGATGTTTTGCTGTATAACATTAATGTGATAATCCCTTCCATATCTCCGGATCACATTAGAAACTTACCGTAAATTCAACTACTGGTATGATGCCTGTTTTGGTGCCAAAGTACACGAGACCTGAGCTGAGAACTGAACTGTACACGGTATGACTCCAGCTGTTGCACACGGTACGTAACAGTAATCCTGACAGGAGAAAATAAACGTGACAGCATTGCGTTTAAAATCACCTAAGAATTCAGTTCTTCAAATGACTTGTTAAAGGTAAGGACCCAGAGAAACAAGATGGAAACACATACTGGATAATGGATTTTAATTAAATTTGGAACACATGCTACACCACTATAGACTATTTGAAACTTGTAATTTTTAATATCGTACAATTGGTAATGCCAATGCAATAGATACTCTACACAGAACACCCTTTCAAACACATTAAACATCAAATATATTAAGAATGTCAAAGTACGTTGTAACTGTCCACCTGTCTGTTGTCTGTCAGTACATTCATTCAAACATTCGTCCACGTCGGTCAAACTTTCGAGAAACACGAAGAGAACTGTCTTCTGGGATGTTGCAACATGTAGTCTGGTAGAAATTTACTGGTATGCAGCAAGCACCCCTGAAATGTCGGTACTTATACTAGACTACGTGGCAAAATATCCCAAAAGACAGTCATCTTCATTGTATTTCTTAATGTCCACCAGCCACAGCCACCGCTATGCTTCACTGCCTCCACCTCAATTCAACCAAACACATTATATGAAAGTCTGAACAGTTAAAAGAACAGCCAATGTTTGAAATTAAATGTTAAAAACTTCTAAAACACTTCCATACCTGTAGCTGCATCCCTCACCGTAATGGGCTTATTTCGACTTCCAATTATCAGAACCTGACGAGCACCTTCCTTTGTAGCTCGAAGTGATAAAACTGACTCCCTGTCAATTTTCATAGGTTCACCAATTAAGGATGACGTCTAAAACAGGAAGAACACAAAGCAAAGACGTCACACATGTATCTGAAAATAATGTCGGAACTCATTATCACTTCTTTAGAATATTTGCATGTGCTTTTGTTTTTATTTTTTAAGAACTCAGGTGTTTTCAAAGTTTGATTTCTATGTCATTTTATTTATATACATATAAAGGATTCTGTGTAATGTAGTTTTTTAATGTTTATATAGTTATGATTACTACACACACACACCTTATATACATTTGTATTTCTTACTACAATATGAAACATGCAACTGTACAATAATATAAAATTAATTTAAATAAGCCACATCAATCATATTACTAGATCATGGAATCATTGGCACTCACTAAAGGTAATCAAATTAATCTGCTGGAAACAGATAGATTTACACCTCAATAATTTTAATTTCGAACATTTACTTTTTTTGGTATTTCCAATCAGAAGCAACACAAAAATTCTTTTCTGTACTTAAAGCCAACATTTCAAAGAAACTGTCATAATTCTGAAATAACTGCACATTTACAAATCTAGTTATTATGGAAAACAATTCTGATCATTTTCAACCAAGCACACCCAAGGACCTACTCTAACGTATTTTTAGAGTTACTACCATACAGTTTATGGTAAAGCAAAAGAAAATCAATCTACACTCAGTAAATGCATTAATATATCCGTTATAAAAAACTGTATAGATAAAAATAACAATAACTCAAATTTTAAACCCTGTTATAAAATATTCATTATGGGGAAACATGAGAATACTGTTTGTTTCAAAGCTTATTTTTCACAATTATTTTTGTTATTTGGAATTTTATAACTAGCCTTTAAATCAAATCAATATGACAAATTTATTTACCCGTACCTTGATATTAAACCGTACCACTTCACCAGTCTGAGTCCCAATAAATACTATTCCCCAGTTCTGGTCCATGCACTGGATTGGACTTCTAACATTCACAGGATTATGAACCAGTTCTCCAGTCTGAAAAACATACAGCAAAACTTGGAAGTAACGAACACAGATACAATGAGTTCATGGCTACGAGCAAATTAATAAAAATATCTCATATATATTGAGCAAGCTTCATGAGCAAGACTGGTTTCTCTGGAAATTTTTTTTAGCTCTTCGCATTACGAAATCTTTCCAGTTGTTTATGTTCTTAATGGTATGGCACAGGTCTGCATCTGTACTGTTAGGTTGGGTTTTGTTGTGGCTAGCCTGCTGTAAACAGTATGGCTGGTAACCCATAGTCAGTAAAGGTGTTACCCATTAATGACCAAAATATCTGTCCGAGTATGAAGAAGTTGAAATTATTTGCGAGTTAGAATGTGATTAAAAAAGAATGTGTGTGTAAGAAATTCAACTTTGTCATCTACAGTTTCAGCACTGTTGAATAAAACGCTTCCATCTTAAATTAAGTTTCAAATAAAGAAGCTAATAATTAGTATACATTCATATACATAGTTTAAAATATATTCATGTGGTTTTCAATCTTCTGTGTAATTTTTATCAGTATTTTCTAGATACACATTAAAATAAAATATGTGCTTAAATAGTTTTTTAACAAATATTCTAAATATCATACAACTATCTGTTATAATTTGATATCAGATTATTCCCATGTATAGCAAATAATGAGCATAATTAATTGGTCCCATTGCACTCCTCATAACCCAGTCACTTCACTTATTTGATCCTACTTTACCTGCAGGTGTCGAGGTTACCGTAGTTATTAATGTAAAATTTAAAGTAATACCTAGTAAAGCCTAGAGAACTACAGAAACTTGTCAAAGATGACCAACCTTTGTGAAAATGTACATGGATAATTATAATGAAAATACGGCACAAACCTTGAATCTAAAATTCCGAAGATGTTTATCGAGAGAACCAGTGAAAAACAAGTCAGGTGCCATTTGTTCTTCACTTGCAGCTTCCAACTCAGTGCTGACACCGTTGTTACTGCACTCAATAACACACAAACAAGTGACAGCAGCATTATGGCCTTCGTATTTCCTCTTGAACTTCCCACTCTTCAGAGAGTAGCAGTACACACTTCCATCCTCAGACGCAGCCAACATGTGCCTGCCCACAGTCTAAGAGAGCGACCATAGATATTAAATATACAAAGTATTTCAATAACTAACACTTCTTCTTAATTAACATAATGCAGAGATTTGAGTGCAATCCAATGGAGCATTATGAATACACAAAATTCCCTAAGGTGCTTTGATGAGTTTCCAACTACAAAGTATGAAGAGTTATAAGACCAATGGATTACTCAGAATGCAGCATGTGTATAAGTACATAGCAAACAATTCAAGTAAATTTTATGCAGTTCGACTGCGTAAAACATTTAAACTCAACGGGGAAAAAAACAAAGGGGTTATGATGAAAGCACAATCTTTTTTCCTTCCCACAACAATTTACAAGCAATTTTTACCAAAACGAATTTTGATTGTTAAAAATTTGAAACAGAATTCCATCTGTATAAAAGAATATGAAAATTCCTGCCTACCCAACCGAGATATAGACTAACTACAAAAATAAAAAACAAAGATAATTTTCCAGTATAACTTCAAGTAATATACATTTATATAACTGTGCTTTTCTTGTCGAGGTGTTACTAAAAATCATTTAAATTAACAGGAGGCACATATAGAACTTTACTCAAACGCAGGATAAGATGTAAGATTTGAGGTTTTCACAGCGGTGAATATGATCAGCGATCGCCCTGATGATGGAGGCAGTATGACCTCTGAAACGTTGGTTAACATCGACCAGTCTACACAGCGCAACAACCCAGAAGACAGAAATCTTCGCAGCATAAGATCTTAGATATGTTGCAAATAGTCATAAATATTAATAGCACTGTCATCATAACACATGTGTCCTAAGAACATGTATACACAGCAGAAACTTTTGGGGCAACTTTTCAGTCAGTCAACTGTGCCGTGAAACTAACGGCAGTCGTTTTCAATATTTACAGTACATTTGCTAATTCACTAAATGCCAATCTAACATATGTAATGGTTCAGTTTATTAAAATGTCTATATTTCATTGAATGTATGTATAAAACTTTTTGGGACACCTGTATGTACTTATTCAGTGCCTAAATTAGTTGGACTACAAAATCTGCAGGTGTTTTGACCCAGAATGCAGCAATTCAATACAAAGCATAAGTCTCACTTTCACTATGATCTATACATCTCTTTGACAAATATAATACTGACATTACAAACAATTCTACTGTCAAAATTTCATTTAAATTAATTACGAACATTAATATTTAATTTCTAAACTACATTTTTAACTTACTTTAATATCTAAGATGGGCCCTTTATGTGATTCAAATACTAAACGCTCTATACCATCTGGCTTAGGGTCCTTCTTGTGTTTCTTGGAGAGCTTGTGCTTGGATTCTGTTCCCTCTCGGCCCTCCTGAGGGGTGTCATATGAACAGGTTGAATCTCGGTCACACTCATCTTTGTCATCTGCAATCAGCTGTAAATCTCTTTCACTTCCATCACCATTCCCGCTCCTTTTGGCAGCAGACTGGTCTCCATCACTCGTGACAGATAATACGTCGGACAAAAGAGTTGAGAGACTGTTTTCATCTTGTGTAACTACATCACGAAGAGTACAATGTCCCTGCAATTGTATTGGTAAATCTGACTGCATAAGATCATGAGATAAATGAACTGGACTTGAAGGATCGTTTCCACATGGTCTGATACGGAGATCAGCTGGTTGCGACTGGCAACTAAAAGTATCAGGAATACCTCCAAGATGATCTTGTTCATTACTGGAGCCCTCTACTTGAGCCTGTTCTTTTCTGTCTCTTTCTTTCTTATGCTTTCCAACAAACTCTACCACAGAAAGTTCATCTGAAGAACTTGAAAACGTTCGAATTCTCTGATCACCGACACTGTCTGTTGTAGTAAGTTCTTCAGATGGCAGAGAGTGAGCTACTGTTTCTATAGCTAATGGTTTTACCTTAACAAAACAGTCCTGTAATTTCCACTGCAGTAGGTCCAGTTTTGGACCAAGACGTTGAACCTTATTAGGTGGACCTTCTAATTCATCGGGTCTCCTCTTTTGTGTACCACCACCGTGACGTCTACTCCTTGAAGAGGGAAAACTTTCAAAAGACAAACCAGAGTTTAGTACTTCAGAAGACAAAAACGTATCATGGTTGTTACTATTCTGGATTCTTCTCAGTTGCCTAGCAGACACAGCACTTTCATCAACATCGACTGTCTGCCCTACTTTCACCGTCTTCACTTTTGTACTCATTTCAGTTGCATTTCCATGCATTACAGTTGGCTGCATGTCCTGAAAGTTGGAAGCAATTCTAATACATGATCTTCTGCTCCTGCTTTGTGTGGCAGGTTTTGACAGTTCGTCTTGTGAACTTCTATCAAGAATTTCTGTAACTTTCCTTTTACAGGGAACTGTACTTACACTGTCAGATTCACTGTCTGATTCATGAAGACTTATGGAATTTCTTCCTTTGGATGACCGAGTTCTTTCCCTGTTCTTTACTATTTCTGTCGCTTCTTGAAGTTGAACTTCCACATCACTATGAGACCCACTCCTTGTGTTCCTCCTGCTTCTACAAAATGAATTATCTGCCTGACAAAACATTCTCTGGGAATGTCTTGTTGGCCTTTTACTTGAAGGTGAACAATCAGTTACAGACTGTTTATCGTCTTTTGTTGGAACTTTAGTTTTAACTGATGAATGTGTCTCCTTTCTATCTTGCACCACAGAACTACTATCAGACTGTGAAGATTCTTTCTCATGGTTCATGTTTTTTACTTTGTGCCTTGTACTTCTGCACCTGCTTAAATTTTCTTTCTGGTGTTTACTTTCACAACTGTACGCTTGTCTTCTATTTTGTAGTTCGTCTCCTCCAGTCTGCATTAATGAATCAGACTGAATAGGTTTCCCTGCAATGGCATCTGAGTTACCTCCAATGCCGCTGTTCTCTTGACCAACTGACCGAGAAGACATCTTATTTGTGGCAATACCAGTTTTATGCTGCACATGAGACTTCTTCTTCTTCTTACCATAGTAGCGCTGCCTGCTTACATTAAGTTTTGGCTCTGAAACTTGTATCTTCAGACTCACGGCTTCTGGAAGTGAAGAATTTGTTTCAGATTGATGAGATTCTTCATGAGTAGAAAAATGAGGAGCCAAATGCCTTCTACCCTTGTTAGCATTGTTGCCATCCAAATGACCTGATTTGGATTTCAAAGGGGTTGCTTCGCCAACGTCACCTAACATCTTATTTTGGTTTTCATGGTCTGAAGAATGAGCCACAGCAGCATCTCCTCCCCTACTCCGACAATCCGGCAAATTAAAACTGTTCAGCACAGCCTCCACAACAGAAGTGTCGAAAGTTTTCAAACATTCACCTAGCTTCTGCCTTGGCACAGATAAGTGAGTATTTTGTAGCTCAGCTGAGGATCCTAGAACGTAATGTATTGGCAACATTACCATGGGGGTTGAAGTGGGTGTCAGTCTGTCACTTGTAAATGAACTGCCAGTTGGATCATTATTGTTCACTGTTAGTAAACCCATATGCATTTGCTGTGTGTTATGATTACTGCTTAACATTACTCTGTTACAAACAGTGTCAGATGATGCTTCTGTGGTTGGATTTGCATATTGCAACCCTCTTGATTTAGGTGAATGACTGCTATTTCTGTCAGTACAAGGAAAATCAATTTCTAAACTCGGGTGCAATTTCTTGTATAATTCAACTTTAACTTCCATCAATTTCTGGATTTCTTTGTCTATTTCTAACATTTTCAGGAACACAATTTTGCTGCTTGACCCCACTGCAGTTCCTTGAAAATCTCTCCTTGTATTTCATTGAATGTATGTATAAAACTTTTTGGGACACCTGTATGTACTTATTCAGTGCCTAAATTAGTTGGACTACAAAATCTGCAGGTGTTTTGACCCAGAATGCAGCAATTCAATACAAAGCATAAGTCTCACTTTCACTATGATCTATACATCTCTTTGACAAATATAATACTGACATTACAAACAATTCTACTGTCAAAATTTCATTTAAATTAATTACGAACATTAATATTTAATTTCTAAACTACATTTTTAACTTACTTTAATATCTAAGATGGGCCCTTTATGTGATTCAAATACTAAACGCTCTATACCATCTGGCTTAGGGTCCTTCTTGTGTTTCTTGGAGAGCTTGTGCTTGGATTCTGTTCCCTCTCGGCCCTCCTGAGGGGTGTCATATGAACAGGTTGAATCTCGGTCACACTCATCTTTGTCATCTGCAATCAGCTGTAAATCTCTTTCACTTCCATCACCATTCCCGCTCCTTTTGGCAGCAGACTGGTCTCCATCACTCGTGACAGATAATACGTCGGACAAAAGAGTTGAGAGACTGTTTTCATCTTGTGTAACTACATCACGAAGAGTACAATGTCCCTGCAATTGTATTGGTAAATCTGACTGCATAAGATCATGAGATAAATGAACTGGACTTGAAGGATCGTTTCCACATGGTCTGATACGGAGATCAGCTGGTTGCGACTGGCAACTAAAAGTATCAGGAATACCTCCAAGATGATCTTGTTCATTACTGGAGCCCTCTACTTGAGCCTGTTCTTTTCTGTCTCTTTCTTTCTTATGCTTTCCAACAAACTCTACCACAGAAAGTTCATCTGAAGAACTTGAAAACGTTCGAATTCTCTGATCACCGACACTGTCTGTTGTAGTAAGTTCTTCAGATGGCAGAGAGTGAGCTACTGTTTCTATAGCTAATGGTTTTACCTTAACAAAACAGTCCTGTAATTTCCACTGCAGTAGGTCCAGTTTTGGACCAAGACGTTGAACCTTATTAGGTGGACCTTCTAATTCATCGGGTCTCCTCTTTTGTGTACCACCACCGTGACGTCTACTCCTTGAAGAGGGAAAACTTTCAAAAGACAAACCAGAGTTTAGTACTTCAGAAGACAAAAACGTATCATGGTTGTTACTATTCTGGATTCTTCTCAGTTGCCTAGCAGACACAGCACTTTCATCAACATCGACTGTCTGCCCTACTTTCACCGTCTTCACTTTTGTACTCATTTCAGTTGCATTTCCATGCATTACAGTTGGCTGCATGTCCTGAAAGTTGGAAGCAATTCTAATACATGATCTTCTGCTCCTGCTTTGTGTGGCAGGTTTTGACAGTTCGTCTTGTGAACTTCTATCAAGAATTTCTGTAACTTTCCTTTTACAGGGAACTGTACTTACACTGTCAGATTCACTGTCTGATTCATGAAGACTTATGGAATTTCTTCCTTTGGATGACCGAGTTCTTTCCCTGTTCTTTACTATTTCTGTCGCTTCTTGAAGTTGAACTTCCACATCACTATGAGACCCACTCCTTGTGTTCCTCCTGCTTCTACAAAATGAATTATCTGCCTGACAAAACATTCTCTGGGAATGTCTTGTTGGCCTTTTACTTGAAGGTGAACAATCAGTTACAGACTGTTTATCGTCTTTTGTTGGAACTTTAGTTTTAACTGATGAATGTGTCTCCTTTCTATCTTGCACCACAGAACTACTATCAGACTGTGAAGATTCTTTCTCATGGTTCATGTTTTTTACTTTGTGCCTTGTACTTCTGCACCTGCTTAAATTTTCTTTCTGGTGTTTACTTTCACAACTGTACGCTTGTCTTCTATTTTGTAGTTCGTCTCCTCCAGTCTGCATTAATGAATCAGACTGAATAGGTTTCCCTGCAATGGCATCTGAGTTACCTCCAATGCCGCTGTTCTCTTGACCAACTGACCGAGAAGACATCTTATTTGTGGCAATACCAGTTTTATGCTGCACATGAGACTTCTTCTTCTTCTTACCATAGTAGCGCTGCCTGCTTACATTAAGTTTTGGCTCTGAAACTTGTATCTTCAGACTCACGGCTTCTGGAAGTGAAGAATTTGTTTCAGATTGATGAGATTCTTCATGAGTAGAAAAATGAGGAGCCAAATGCCTTCTACCCTTGTTAGCATTGTTGCCATCCAAATGACCTGATTTGGATTTCAAAGGGGTTGCTTCGCCAACGTCACCTAACATCTTATTTTGGTTTTCATGGTCTGAAGAATGAGCCACAGCAGCATCTCCTCCCCTACTCCGACAATCCGGCAAATTAAAACTGTTCAGCACAGCCTCCACAACAGAAGTGTCGAAAGTTTTCAAACATTCACCTAGCTTCTGCCTTGGCACAGATAAGTGAGTATTTTGTAGCTCAGCTGAGGATCCTAGAACGTAATGTATTGGCAACATTACCATGGGGGTTGAAGTGGGTGTCAGTCTGTCACTTGTAAATGAACTGCCAGTTGGATCATTATTGTTCACTGTTAGTAAACCCATATGCATTTGCTGTGTGTTATGATTACTGCTTAACATTACTCTGTTACAAACAGTGTCAGATGATGCTTCTGTGGTTGGATTTGCATATTGCAACCCTCTTGATTTAGGTGAATGACTGCTATTTCTGTCAGTACAAGGAAAATCAATTTCTAAACTCGGGTGCAATTTCTTGTATAATTCAACTTTAACTTCCATCAATTTCTGGATTTCTTTGTCTATTTCTAACATTTTCAGGAACACAATTTTGCTGCTTGACCCCACTGCAGTTCCTTGAAAATCTCTCCTTGTGTCCATGCTATCACCACTCGGACCACCATCAATATCAGCAATTTTGCCAGTGGCTGCACAAGAGCTACTTGTGTCTGTTGCATCAACGCTACTAACACCAGCTGAGCATTCAGTTTCTTTGCTAGCCACTCTTACTTTCTGCACTATGTTTAATCCTGTGCTTGTGTCATCTTGCTTAGTCGGTCTTATTTGCTTTGTGGTACTCATCCTTCCCTCTTTACCATGTAAGGAGGGTCCCCTAAAACTGGGTTCCATCCCATCGAGAGGACATGAAAGATCTGAAGTGTGTGGCAAAGATGTAGTTTGTACAGTTGAATCCACGTCATGATTCTCAGAAACAGAAATGGGAGGACTTGGTGAAACTGTTGAGTTGAGAGGATGAATTAAACATTGTGCTTTGTGCTTTGAGGCAGACGTTGCACAATCTTTTTCAGCATTAACACTCCTTGACAATTCTGGCGATTCATTCTCTTTGGTTGCCTTCCTCGACGAAAAATGATCTGTCAGTAATTCTGCTAGTTCTGGTGAGAGTTGACTTGACTTTTCTAGAAGTTGTAACATTCTCTGAATATCATCAGAATCAAACTCCTCAGGGGGCTGAGTCTGTGTGCTTATTTCTACTCTAGTCACTTCCTGAAATGGGTTACAAAGGAACGATGTCTGAGTCTCAGCTGAGCTACAAAGACGTTGGGGTTCTGGAACTCCGGGTGCATCTGTAAAAAAAAAAAAAAACAAGAAAGAAGAGAATCTGCAAGACCATCTTAAAATGCTTATGTTAGTCTAACATAAAATTGTATTTCTGCTCACTACACTTCTTCTGTCCATAATCACAAGTAACAGACACAAACAATTGTTGAGCATGCAAAATTTTGCAGCATCAAATTCCATCACTGATGGACCAGTCATGATAAAGCAAACCCTTTCTTTCATTCGCTCACTCACTCCGTGGTGCAAGATATTCTTTAAAAAGTCAAATGTATACTTGGCTTGTCAAAGAACAGCCCACTTTCTTTATAGAATCTGAAGGTTCATCAACATGTTCACAAAAGCCCACAACTGGACTCTATCCAGGACTATCTGCATCCAGTTCACTCCATCGATTCCCATCTCCCTATGGTTAATCTTGAACCTACCCTGTAGAGACCCCTAATATTCGAAGCGCCAAATCTCATGTCCTTCTAACACTCCTTAGGTCGTGTCAAAGAATCAGTCCAGGTCCGAGGCACTTTTGGGCATTTTGTAACAAAATAAGTTTTTACAGTGAGGGGTTGATAGCCCCAACATGCAACCCCTAGCCTGGAGGACCACCCCTTGTTGGCTGTCCACGACTGCTTAGTCAACATATTCAGAGCTACCATCCATATCTGGAGGCCTTCTCCTCTACAACCTGAGAACGTGCCATGCCAAGGTGACAAGGGATCCACCTAAAATGGAAACCCTTTCACTACCTAAAAGTTTTGATCTGCACCGCTGGCAAAGGAGACACATACCTCACAACTTGCTACCGCTGTTTCCCCCACGTTTTGCACCAGACACGCAAGTAAGTAACTGAAGAGTATGTTAAAATTCATAATAATGGTCTCCAATATGCATCTGAGTGTAAATACAACACAACAGAACTTACCCATACAATTTTTACATTGTAGTTCTTCTTCAAATAATGAAGTCCCATCCTCACCAGCACTGTCACATTTCTCAATCTTAACCACATTATAAGGTAAAGTTTGTATATTCTCATTACAGGTTTCATATTTGGCCGCAGCGTAATTAATGGATGACTGACGTGCTTCAGCAGTAAGACTATCAGTTCCTCTAGAGTCATCTACCTCTGGTATAATACTCTTCACTGCGATGAAACTATTTCCATTCTTCTCTTCAGTTTTCTCAGAGACTGGTCTGACATTCACAACTACCTTATAATTATCAGCAGAATTATCAACATGGATTTTATCTACAGTAGTATTTGCTATGTATTCTGCAACAGGCAGATCATTTTTGTCATCACACAGGTCATCAACACCGATATTTTCTGCTTGCATATATTTGGAAGGAGAAATGTGAATTTCATTAGATGCACTAGCAGATTGACTACTATTTCTGTGTGTTTTAATGCTCTCATTAACATTTATATTTTCTGTATCATTACCAGTGAGAACGAAGCTTCCATCCATTGCTTCACTGTGTGGATCAGTCACTGCAACTTCTTCATTCTGTTTTTCAGATGTAATAAATTCTTGGTTTGTTTCCATGTTGACTTTTGTGTCTTCAACATTATAGCTACTGCCTTCATTTATATCTAATTGTGAGTTCTCATCACAGCCATAAGTATTCAAATTTATCTGCAGGTTATCAGGTAGTCTAGTTGTGACAGAGTTCAATTCTTCAAAATCTCCATCTTTAGTTTCAGTTTCTCTAGGACCAGGATCTTCAGTTGAAATATCCATTTCTTCACTGACCTTTCTTAACAAAGTATTCACATTAATAACATCACTATCTTTAAATAATGCACCTGTACATTCACTAGAGCCTTCTATAGGTTTATCAGCAACTGTAGACCCTTTCAATAGTTCTCCATTATCTGTCAAGGATCCATCAGAATTTGCAGAGCATCTACCACGTCCATCGGCAACTAAAGAACATTGTGAAGGTTCCTGTGCATCTGCCAAATCTTTTAACAAGTCTTTAGCTTGAATGACATTTGCAGATGCAGGGAAATTAGTACCAATGTCATCAGATGTATGGTGAGAGCTATCAAATCCTTCTTCATGAGAATCATCATTCCAGTTATCCTCACCGCAAGATTCTACTCTTTTGTCAGTGTTGGTCAAACAATCATTGGCAAGTCTTTCTGAACGAGACTTTTTTATCAGGGAATTATTTTCAAATTTATTAGAATCTTCACCCAACTCAGTGTCCAAAACTTCACTGGGCATCACATTTGTCTGCAAGGAAGAGTTGCAATCAACCATCTCATCTGTTGCTCTTATATGTGCTAAATTTGGACTCATTACTTTGTCAAATGTTCTAGCAGATATCTGATCTGAATCTGCTTGAGGATGCATCACTACTTCTCCATCAATTTCTTTGGTGCATGGAACATCTTTCACATTCTTCTGCCCATCTACAGCTTCAGATGCAGTAGATCTCGTGTCGAAGCAACCAGAAAATAGATTTCCAAATTCACCACTTCTGTTCATGAATCCTTTTCCCAATGGTATGTAACCTGGCCACGTATTGGATTCCGCTCTAGGCTTCTTCACTGCTCCACCTTCTTCAATTATTATTTTTTGTTCATATTCCATTGGCCTCCTCAGTGAATCCTCGATCTGCCCTGTTCCTGAATCCATTGCTGACCAGTTCTGCTGAAAATCTGATGTTGAGCCAAGCTGTCCTTCTACCAAGTCTTTTTCTGTTACACTTTCATTCACTGCATTGCCAATAACTTCTGTTGCAACCACTGGTTTCTTTTCACTTTCTATAACTTCTCTTTTTATATCTTCTTCTGAAAGTAAAGCAACTTGTAGAGCTTGAATATTCTGCAAATCATGAACACTATTTTCATCTTCAACAGTTATGGGCTGAAAATCTATGGATTCTGCATTATCCAACAGATTCAATTGCAAGAGATTTCCAAGCTGCTCAATAACTTCCTGAGGAAGGTGAGAGAAGTTGATTGCAATGTCAGTATCTAACATAGAATTTGTGTCACATAATGGATCACCATGTTCAATTCATAATAATGGTCTCCAATATGCATCTGAGTGTAAATACAACACAACAGAACTTACCCATACAATTTTTACATTGTAGTTCTTCTTCAAATAATGAAGTCCCATCCTCACCAGCACTGTCACATTTCTCAATCTTAACCACATTATAAGGTAAAGTTTGTATATTCTCATTACAGGTTTCATATTTGGCCGCAGCGTAATTAATGGATGACTGACGTGCTTCAGCAGTAAGACTATCAGTTCCTCTAGAGTCATCTACCTCTGGTATAATACTCTTCACTGCGATGAAACTATTTCCATTCTTCTCTTCAGTTTTCTCAGAGACTGGTCTGACATTCACAACTACCTTATAATTATCAGCAGAATTATCAACATGGATTTTATCTACAGTAGTATTTGCTATGTATTCTGCAACAGGCAGATCATTTTTGTCATCACACAGGTCATCAACACCGATATTTTCTGCTTGCATATATTTGGAAGGAGAAATGTGAATTTCATTAGATGCACTAGCAGATTGACTACTATTTCTGTGTGTTTTAATGCTCTCATTAACATTTATATTTTCTGTATCATTACCAGTGAGAACGAAGCTTCCATCCATTGCTTCACTGTGTGGATCAGTCACTGCAACTTCTTCATTCTGTTTTTCAGATGTAATAAATTCTTGGTTTGTTTCCATGTTGACTTTTGTGTCTTCAACATTATAGCTACTGCCTTCATTTATATCTAATTGTGAGTTCTCATCACAGCCATAAGTATTCAAATTTATCTGCAGGTTATCAGGTAGTCTAGTTGTGACAGAGTTCAATTCTTCAAAATCTCCATCTTTAGTTTCAGTTTCTCTAGGACCAGGATCTTCAGTTGAAATATCCATTTCTTCACTGACCTTTCTTAACAAAGTATTCACATTAATAACATCACTATCTTTAAATAATGCACCTGTACATTCACTAGAGCCTTCTATAGGTTTATCAGCAACTGTAGACCCTTTCAATAGTTCTCCATTATCTGTCAAGGATCCATCAGAATTTGCAGAGCATCTACCACGTCCATCGGCAACTAAAGAACATTGTGAAGGTTCCTGTGCATCTGCCAAATCTTTTAACAAGTCTTTAGCTTGAATGACATTTGCAGATGCAGGGAAATTAGTACCAATGTCATCAGATGTATGGTGAGAGCTATCAAATCCTTCTTCATGAGAATCATCATTCCAGTTATCCTCACCGCAAGATTCTACTCTTTTGTCAGTGTTGGTCAAACAATCATTGGCAAGTCTTTCTGAACGAGACTTTTTTATCAGGGAATTATTTTCAAATTTATTAGAATCTTCACCCAACTCAGTGTCCAAAACTTCACTGGGCATCACATTTGTCTGCAAGGAAGAGTTGCAATCAACCATCTCATCTGTTGCTCTTATATGTGCTAAATTTGGACTCATTACTTTGTCAAATGTTCTAGCAGATATCTGATCTGAATCTGCTTGAGGATGCATCACTACTTCTCCATCAATTTCTTTGGTGCATGGAACATCTTTCACATTCTTCTGCCCATCTACAGCTTCAGATGCAGTAGATCTCGTGTCGAAGCAACCAGAAAATAGATTTCCAAATTCACCACTTCTGTTCATGAATCCTTTTCCCAATGGTATGTAACCTGGCCACGTATTGGATTCCGCTCTAGGCTTCTTCACTGCTCCACCTTCTTCAATTATTATTTTTTGTTCATATTCCATTGGCCTCCTCAGTGAATCCTCGATCTGCCCTGTTCCTGAATCCATTGCTGACCAGTTCTGCTGAAAATCTGATGTTGAGCCAAGCTGTCCTTCTACCAAGTCTTTTTCTGTTACACTTTCATTCACTGCATTGCCAATAACTTCTGTTGCAACCACTGGTTTCTTTTCACTTTCTATAACTTCTCTTTTTATATCTTCTTCTGAAAGTAAAGCAACTTGTAGAGCTTGAATATTCTGCAAATCATGAACACTATTTTCATCTTCAACAGTTATGGGCTGAAAATCTATGGATTCTGCATTATCCAACAGATTCAATTGCAAGAGATTTCCAAGCTGCTCAATAACTTCCTGAGGAAGGTGAGAGAAGTTGATTGCAATGTCAGTATCTAACATAGAATTTGTGTCACATAATGGATCACCATGTTCTTGATTTTCTACATCTTGGCCTCTAATTCTTGACTGAGCCAGTGTCCTTAGCTCCCTAGACAACAGCAGTCGATGCTCTTTCATCAGATGATTCATTGCAAATTCAAATTTTCGGGATCTAGGATTATTTATCAGGTCCTTCAAATTATTCTTTCCCATTTTTAAAAATTGCTGGATGATACGCTGTTTTAAATTTTTAAGAGATCTTTTCGGTTCACGTTCACTGCTACCGGATGGATGTTCACAGGAGCTCCTTGAGTTTGTGCCATCCCTGGACTGGTCAGAATTGTCTGCTGGATTTGACATGCTGGATTGGGCACATGGATAAGAGCTTGATGTCTCAACTTCACTAGATGCCAGTTGTCTTGGACTACTTGATCCAGAAGTAAATCTGCTGCACTTATAGGTTGAAGGAGGTCCTCGTTCTGCTTGTTTGTAAGAATCTCTCAATCCCATTTCCCTTCCTTCAAGGCTGCTAGACATACTGAACCTTTCTTCATTGCCTAGCAATTTTATGTCAGGAGCATTAAATGTATTACATCCAAAATTGGAAACCAATTCTTTCTCAGAATCATCTGAACTTTGAGCTGCTATTTCTGTCCTACTTGATGAATCTTTCAATTCATTTGTGGAAATGGTTTCAACAGATTGATTTCCCATTAGAGCCAATTCTAATGAGGTACGAGCTCCAGATGTGTTGACCATTCCAATTACTTTTAAATCACTCGGTGTTAACTGAAGCTCAGAACAATCCGGTTTATTTAACCTCAGTGGGCTGGCTCTGGTAGATTCTGTTCTTTTTTGTTGTCTTTCATTGGAGAGAAGGTTTTCTAAGCCCTCAGGTTTTTTATCCTTGAATGAAAGCAAATAGCTCTTTATTTTGTCTCTGGCCTTGGCAAGAGTTTTCTTTCGAGCCTCCTCAGATCCTAGAGGTGGGCTTGTAACTTTCCGCTGTGAAGAGGACTGATTTCTAGAAGATGATGGTGATGAATGCCGTTTTTGGTTATGTCGGTTTCTAGGGTCTGACCATGAAGATTTCCCCTTATGAGATGAAGCATGACCAGAAGTTCTGGTGTGACCTTGACCAGAATTGAATGTGTGTCTTGGAAGATGCTGATTCTGAGGAATGGGTTCTCTTCTATATGTGTCACTGTAATTATTTTGATTATCCCAAGAAACATGATTCCACTGGTGCGGAAATACTAACTGAGGGAACTGGTATTGATTATATGTATTAAATGGTTCATAGTGACTGTCTTGCCAGTAACTTGAATTCTGACCACTTCTACCCCTTTGTGACCCAGAATCTCCTCTTCGCTTACTCCTCCTGCTATTATAGTTGTAACCACTCATTGGAATTCTTATTTAAGTTCACAGCTTAACATGTCCAAAATTACACTTCACGAATTCTGACCCTAACAGTTAGAATTTCAGTTCTTGAGTAATTTCACACTGTCCAGTACCCATACATGTGGCAAACCTAGAAAATAGAATAGCATATTAATATAAGAAGTACAAGATTATTGTTGTATCACTACCATGCTGATACTGTAACATGTACCTATCACATATCTTAGCACATTGCATGGATAGGTACGCATTTTGTATGTGCATTATAGCCTATAGAAAATAAACTATTGAAGTTTTACACGTAGAGAAAAAATTATAAAATATAAGAAAACCAAAATAATTAATCCATTAGACCCTAATTTAAATCACTTAAGCAGGTGACCTACAAGAAATTTAGAAAGTGGTGGAAGGAATTCCAAGAAAAAGGAGTTATTCTACTGCCATTATGTGTATGAAAACTAAGTGCTTACATTCATTCTAGACTTGCAGTACACGGTTTATTTTGTGAAATCTGAAAATCAAAACTTTTTCACACTACAAAACAGACCTGTATGTTTGCTACATAACAATTTGCACAAAAAAAACACATATTAAACTGGACTGTCCTTGTCTCCATCAGCAAATAATCTCAACTGTCCTTGCCTCCATCAGCAAATAATTTTAAACAATGCACTAAATACATATAACTTGTTTACGTATATATTTATTTTTATGTTCACGACTTCATCAACTAAATCACTATACAACAACAGCAGTTCGATCCTTTATTGCCACCATTTGCATTCATCATGGCCTTCTAAACCAAAGCGACGTACCTGTCATCCAGTGACTGCCTAAGATGCTCTTCATCCAGCGACGTTTACATATTGTATCTAGTCGTTTTATTAGGAATAAATAAATCATAAATGTGGATAAAAGGTATACTGTGATAATTTATTTTTCTCAAATACAAAAATAAAACAATGGTTATACAAGTAAAAACTAAGTTACCAACGAACTTCCGAATTCGAATTGGCTTCAGGTTATAACCATCAAAAATCATCTCGGATTTTCAAATCTAGATAATCTCTGGAAATTATTATGGCTAACACCTCACTCAACTTTTAACTCCCATGGAATTGCTCATAGTAATTATTGCTGCCATCTGTGCGGCACATGCACGGACTAATATCAACTTACTACAAAAAATTATTACACTTTCTAAATAAAAATTATTCAAATACTAACATACACAACAAACATTTCAAAATACCCCCATGTACGGAATACGAATTAACCAAGAAAACCTTACTGGGGTATGAGAATTACGATCCTGCTACCATGAACCATGGAAAAGATGACTAATGCAGTAAAGTTATTATTAGTAGGTGCAAATTAAAACTGAACTCAAGATTGGTGTAATGATAAACTACAAATGTCTCATTTTACCAAGGTGATTTGAAACACAAATTAATAAACATTATACATTTCTTAATGCCTGTACATTGTATGTGCGAAACTCTCCACTCATGCATAACATAATTTTATAGTATTGGGGGAAAGTTATTAAATTTATTTCCAGTTCAAATCATGTTCTCTTTTATTGGGCACATCATAAAGTACAGTACATCATGGCAGAATTCTATCTGTGGATGCTTGTGTAAGAGACACTTGAGTCAGATGGTCACAACTGAATGTTCTTTTCAAAAATATGTGTCAGCTTTACTCTAGATATAATCTGGAAAGAGAAGAAAACTGTTAAATTACAAAAGATTTAATAGAATTTAAAGTCAGATACATACACCATAATGTAACATTTTGAGTGTAACATTTTTAGGTAAGGTAAGGTGTCCCTTGCACTTCAGAACCATGCAATTAATCATGGAGACCAAAAAAAAAAATCAATAATCAAAACCACAACAAGGAAACAAAATGTACATATCAACCACATACTTAACAATTTATTTTGAGCATTTAATAGTTGTATGAGTCATATTAGTATCGTAACACCCATGCAGTCCCCACTTATAATGACATGATTGGGTTCTACCTTCCATCATACTCTACGGGGCTAAATAATTATGCACCACTGTAATTTTCTCAAGATTATGTTTCACTCCCTCCTCCATGAGAACACATCCCAGATAGTTGACCTCACCAGCAAGAAAGCATAATTTCTTAATTTGGCAAAGTGTTACACAAACTCCTAAATAAATGAAATTTCACTGCAAACACCAACCTGGACAAGGGGTTATTGGATGAGATTTTGATTGTGGTCTTGACACTTTACAGACTTCTATGTGGTTTTAAAACTGCTTAGAAATACTTCTTAGTACTTATTATGGCTTATATTTTTCATTGTTATGCACTGAAAGAGATATGGTAAGGGATGAAGACATGAAAGAAATTATTTCCTGTTAAATTTTAATATATCTTTTCCACTAGTTTTATAAGAATACTTGCTCTATGCTATAGTGCTGTTTAATCTGCTTCTGTTTGTTCTCTGTATCCATGTACACACTCTGGATATTTTTCAGTGTAGAAACTCTGAACTTCATCATATTCAGCCAGCAATGTAACTTTAACCTGCAAAATGTAACATCATTATCATAAATAATGTAATATGTATATATATAATAAAGCACATGTTAAATTACTGATTTATTGCTTTTATTGTTACGATGGGGTGAGACTATCTCTGTGGAAATGCGGCCACTGAAAGGCCCTGGTCCCACTATGTTGACTGCAAACATAATGTAACCAGTGTAACTATCCCTATTTATGATTTCCATTAGTGTTCAATAGCACACACAAGAAATGTTATCAGAATCTTTGTAGCTCTTTGAAATCAGCTACTTAGAAGGTTCAATGAAATGGGAATAATATATTTAAGTGTATCTTAGGGAGAAATATTGTAAGTATTAAAGTTGCTCACGATTATGTCAAGTAATATTTTTTGGTGTTAGGAGCATTGAGTTTTCAGGATTACCAGAGAATTAGTTGCTCCTTAGTGTCTTAAATTGTATGTATATAAATTTATCCCACCTTATCTCGGTTTCTTGTGTATTGTGTCTTCTTGAGATAGTTTTCCCATGAAGGTAGCTTTGTGAAAAATGGAGGTAGTCTCTTCTTCTTGAGAAATACACGGTTCCCTAATGCATACTGTGAAAAGAATTACCACATAAACCAACATTTAGTCACACAATTTTTATTATTATGACAAAGAATACTTTTGACATTTTATTAAATTCCTTTCTTCACAGGAACCTGCAAACTGGTTGTTGCATTACCTGTGTATAGTCCATCACTTCATCTGCATTGATCTCCTCCAGTGTGCGACATGTTGCTGGAGAAGCCACCACAGTCGGGAAATAATCATTCTCTTCTCTGAACTCAACAACATGCAACTTCTTCTCGTCAGCTAGCATTTGGTGTGTTTTCTGTAAATATAATGAGAAATACAAAAATGCATAAATTACAAATCATAAGAACACTTGAAAAGATACAAACATGGTAGTAGCCACATAATGATGATGATATGATTTCTGATCTTATGTAAGGATCTGTTGGATGTCATGTGACCTTTTATTACTTGTTCTTTTCCAGCTTCACCCGAATCATTTTCTGGTTCAGTTGGTCAGTCCTATGTCACATCTGAACTGGTTCATGAAAAAAGTTTTTATGTGAATGTTATAATGTTCATAATATAATGGCATCTTTTGCTTATTATTCAGTCTTTTGATATTGGACTGGCAAGGGTCAATATTACCTGATGCAGTAATCCAATGAAGAATGCTTTGATAATATGCTGCAGGTTGGTGGGACCCTCTACCTTAGCATATAGATCTTTTATACCAATTACTTCACAGGTAGTCTTGATTGCTCGATGGCAGACCAAACCAAAGCCTTCTGGTTTCTTGGTTACAAAAATTTTTGTCTTCCCAAACTGGCAGAAGAAATCATGATAAACTGAAAGCAACAGACCATTGACAATCACAGTGCTATGTTTGTTAACTGCCCATCCCTTATTCAATCATCCATTCAGTATGTCAATGATAAGAAAAACATCATTAATCCAACCCCTCTCTTACAACCACTAGGTTTCACAAACTATATTATATATAAATAAAATTCCCATGAACCAGTACAAATTGCAGCATGTATATTATAGGATTACTCCCTTCATTAATCCAGATCTTCTCTTGTAAACATTAGGTTTAATAAAATATATTCTATACTAATTATGACATCATGAATTGACACAAACTGCACGTATCTTGTTAGATGACTAAAGCATTCGTATAAACCTTTACACAAGTGGTCAGCAACCATACATTTTTTCTGAGAATGGTACGTGGGATTACATGGGTCAACTGTTACTGAGGTAGGACAGAAGGTGGATAATTACTGTGGCTCGCTCTTTTGGAACCACACGCTTTTCTGTTAAATTTTCGGCAAAGAAAAGAATACTTTTGATATGCGACTATATGGCGATATGTATGCTGTGTTCACAAACACACAACACTTAAACCTACCTGTGTGATTGTTGAATATTTCTAGGTACATCATCTTCTGGCCTGCACGATTTTTTGCTTTTCTAAGAGCTGCTTTTGCTTCAAGTGCTTTGCCTAGTGCAATTCCAGCTGATCCATTCTTGTTTCCTGTCACTACAAATGCGCTTATCTGCCGCTTTCGTCCTGCGCTCCCTTTCATGTTGAATACACTTTTCAACTGAGAAATGTAAGCTATTAAAATGAATATATGACTATATGAAAATATAACTATACTACACAAAGAAGAGAAAATGACTCTTGTAAATCATGTTTAGTAACAATACAATTCACAAAACTACATACGAAGAAAGTGCTGTTTCACTAAAAAAAAATGGCAGTACTTTGAGGTTACATCCAACAATTTTTAACATATTTTGACAATCTTGTTTATATTGTAATGAAAAGGTACTAGAAAAGCACTGCTAATTTAAAACTTCAACCTCAGAATTGGAGAACTGTCTCTTGTCAACTCTGTGACTGCTTATTCAATATATCATTACTGTAACTCTCTTGCATATCTTAGAGTCATCTTCAAGGTGTTATAACACAACAACGTCCTACCCCTTTCCACTTCAACCATAAAAACAGGGACAGCAGCATCTTCAGAAATATTGGTATACCACCTGAGGTCTAAATATAATATGAGGTAGATTATCAACATCTTACCAATTATAATATAAAGGTTAAGATTTTTCCCTATTTGGTTCTCATTTATTGACAATTCACTGTGATACCTGCTAGATATTTCATAATTTATAAATAAATAAGCAGAAATGAGTATTTAAAGTCCTATTTTAACAAATGAATGCTTCTAGTGAAGTTGTTAAAAATGTTGATTAACAGCAGTGTACTCATCATGTACAAGACATCCAGAGAGGTCATTTAAAGAAGAAAGTAATTATTCTTAACTCACTAAATCTCTAGTAGTGGAACTACTGCTAATAAGATGTCCAGCCACTGTATAAAACCTGGGCCATGTCTACCCAACCCCCATCATTATAGTCTGTTTACCCAAGACACATCTTAATGTTAACCTCTCACTATTTTCAAGTGGCAGCTTTTTCAGAGATCCTCCAACACAATTTTTTTTTAATTCATTGTCTCTGTCAACTCACTGTGGCCTCTCAGATTTCACTACTGTAGCAATCGGTTAATATTATTATCTCCTACATCACAAGACTGAGTACAACAGAACTTACCTCTAACACCTTTGTATCAAAACCTTCAAATGTTTCTGCAAATAAAAATGTGGTATATTAATTTACTATATTAATATGACACTGAAGAAGGAGACATTGATAGTCTCTGTAACACTGGTTTTTGACTCAAGAGTTACATAATATTCTAGTGTTTACTTGAAACTTGTAGCTTAAAAAATGTGGTAATTACAATTTATCTTTTTAATCTGCTGCAGTCTGACACTACATAATTGGGATTTAATCTGGCCCTCCACTTAAAATAGCCTTAATTAAATCCAAACCTGGTACAACAGTAAATTCATATAAAGGGATCAGAATAAATTGTAGAAAGTAACCCAGTATTTGTACCTTCTCCTACCGGATCAGGTGGGCCAATACTTCTGCCAGGCATCTTTGTTCCTGACCAACCTCGTTCAATTGGACTTAACCTGAGAGGCCGGAAGTTGCCCATATCGTCTCGTAATTTTATCAACATCTTCTCGCGTTCTGGATCTTCTGGCAACTTCTGTTGCTGTACCAACTCTCTCCCTCGTAACACTGGCACAGTCAAGCCAGGCCATATAATGTTTGATTTACCTGCAAGTAGATGGCAATGCTAATTAGACAGCCAGTCTCCTGAAGATGGAAGCAGAACCAACTCCTGAAATACTGTGCATGGGAAATAGACATTGCCCAACGTACGTCTGACAACAGAAAATGTTTCCATCAACAAAATTCATACTCACCAACCCCTATGACCTGTCCTCTGTTCAGATCTTTGGCCATCTTCTTCCCAATACCTTTTCCTCGGCCACGTTTCCTTCCCGCATTGCTGACACTTGTCACCCCTTTCCACAATGCTTCTGCTGGTACTGAAATGTTTAAACAGGTATTTTACACATTAATCAGATCTTACAGAGAAGGCTCAGTCTGCTTTGAACAGGAATGACCTGAATATTTTTTAATATGACTGGATTTATAGGCAACCCAGCAGCTCATCTACATACGTACATACTGCATAACATACATGCATGCTGTCCACAGATTGGGAGTTGGTGATGCAATTGTGGTGAGAGAACAAGTAACCTTGAGCATTCTACTACCATTTCTATGTAACATCAGCTTTCCTGTGAGTTGTACAGTACAAATGTTCATTATGTCATACCAAAATGTTGTGAATATTTCACCTAAAATAAAGGTTTCATGCAAAGTATATAACTGATAAGCTAAAATTCATACATACACAATAGATAAGTTGCAATATAACTAACTAACTAGATGGCTTACGGAACCTGAAGGTTCATCACCAAACTAACCAAAGCCCTCCACCGGACCCAGTCCTGGGCCAACAAAATCCAGTCTCCTTCAACTCCTATCTCCCATAGATCCTGCCAGAGATTATCCTCCCATCCATGTATAGGTCTCCCCAGCAGTCTCTTTCCCTCAGGCTTCCAGACCCACCCAACCCGTCCATCTCATTGTTTTTGACCTAATCACCCTGACAATATTGAGGGAGGAGTACAAATTTTTAAGCTCATCATTATGCAGCTTTCTCCATACCCCATCGTCTTCTGTCTTTAGCCCAAATATCCTCCTCAACACCCTAATTTCAAAAACCTGCAATCTCTATTCCTCCCTCAGATATTTAAATTACAGAAAGTAATTGTCATTCTTACATTATATTCACTTCTTAAAAGGAACGTAAGACTGGTGAAATGTATAAGAAGTAATTTTAATTAATTTACTTCTACACAGACCCTAAAATGGAATTACTAACCTCTAGTAAAACTTCTGTGTTCCTCTTTATTGTATTTATGTCATCACCTAATAAAGTAACAACATCAGCATATACCTATAGCTGATGTGCAAGTTGCAATATACAGAGACAAAAAATCTTTACAACGATCACGAATCATTTTAAACATTACAAACAGGAGCGTGTATTAAAGTAACTTTTAATGCTACTTTAAATTTTACCTTTTAATTCGTAAGTCATTTACGAGACCTGATGGTAGACTGTTGAATACTTTAATAGCAGAATTACAGTATAAAGTCATGGCAGTTACATTATGGATAAAACATACATAATAAAATTATTACAGACTCTAAAGGAATTTGGAAAGGTAATTAACACCACATTAATGTTAATCATGGAATCTCTTGATCACATGAATAACTGAACTTCCCAAGGAACAGTATGTACTACGTAGTTAATTAGGTTGTTATAATATTTCAAAGGAGAAAAGATTCATTATGCTTTAATGGGTTATGATAACACCAGGTGGTACAGCAAGAACAGATACATTCTTTAAAGTTTTAAAGTTTTATAAAGTGTTGCCACACTGCTGGATCGTAAGGGAACAGAACTGTTAAAGTTTAAATGAGGTTCCTAATATCTGGTGCATGTTAAAGGAAACAGAAATCAAGCAATCAGACAACAATTAAATAGATTTAACTTCATGGGATCTGAGGTTTTCACAGGGTAAAAATGTTGATGTTGGTCTTGTGGTCTTTAATGCCATGTTTACTTGTACAAAGACATCAATATTATGGAAGCAGTATCTTCATTTGAAACAATGGCATCTACTTACAAATCTACATGACCTTAAAATCTTGAAAACCAACATCAACAGACTTATTATCCTAGACAAAATAGTTGAAAACTAAACAAATTAATTCCATCACAAGGAAAAAAATGGATAAAAGCAGATTTCCTTTTAGATTTTACTGGTATACACTAAAATATAGGAGAAGAATAGGGAGACAATACAAATTATAGAAAGATTAATTCTGAGTTTAACAAGAGTAGTCCTTGAAGATTTCTGTCTTCTGGGTTATTGCGCTGTGTAGTCTGGTCGATGTTAACCAACGTTTCAGAGGTCATACTGCCTCCGTCATCAGGGCGATGAATATGTATATGAAGAGTAGTCCTTGGTTTGTTAAAAATGATGGTGATTAAGATTAACAGGTTCACCAATGACATTATTAAAAATATTATCAAAAGTACTAACTTATTACTCACACTTGTTGAAGAAACTTGTATTCCTTACAATTACAGAGATAGGTGTGCATATTGCTACAGTTAATATTGGAACATTAGCACATGTAGTAAACATATTTTGTACTCGCTGGGAAGTATTTAACACATCTGAAAAACGGATATACATGTTACATTACTTGTTTTTCATACCAAGAACAAAAATAATTTAAACTGTGCCAAGAACCTATCACAACTATATACATCTGCTTTGCAGCCACTGATATAAATGTCAAGGTGTGTGCGGATACACTGTCTTATTTCGTCTATTGTACCTATGCTAGTGCTTATAAAGAACAATAACCTTTCGTTAGACGCACTCCATAAACACATTTACCCAGTACTTTATTTAACCTCAAAACTGAGGCAGACATGTTTCATTTCATTTTATGAAGTCACGGAATACATACATACAAAGACAATAACAAAGATAACTAAAACTTTCATCCTTGTTAATAGATGGCAGACCCATATTCCAAGTTGTATGAAAATACGACATACATGGCATGATTACAGAATTGCATTCACCTGACATCTATCCCAACATCTGAAAACAACAAGCAGGTTATTAAATCAACTAGAACAAGATAGTTTGTGTAAATGCTTACCCATGTCTAAACAAATTTTACAAACTGAATTAAACAGTTTCCTGGATATTAGCCATTCTCCAATAAATGGGGACTAAATGCACGAAAGACAAGTTCCCAAGATTTGGTTAGGATAGGTAAGGTTAGATTACCTTGGGTAAGGTTGGGTTAGGTTAGGTTGGGTTAAGTTAGGTTAGGTTACGCTACGTTAGGATTTTTTGAGTTGGATTTGGTTGGATTGTGTTGGGTAAGGATAGGTTGGACTAGATTAGGTTAGATTGGATTAGGTTAGCTTAGGTTATGATAGGGTAAGTTGCGATGGTTTAGGTTAGGTTGTGAGATGGCAGATTACGTTTGGAACCTTAAAGTTGCGTTACGTTGTTATGTTTGCATCGTCTTAGCTTTCCTTATTATGGAAATATTATGTTGAGTTCAAGTATCTAACTTTGTCACTAAATTTCATGAGAATACCAACCATAGGTTTTACTGAATGAAGTCATTAAAAAATTTGAAGGTCATTTTAAGACGAAAATTTCTCACACTTAAAACTGCGGAAACTTATCTATCTTAGTGAACATAATGGAGAAGTGCTGGAGAAATCCTGGAGAAGTGCTGAAGAAGTACTCAAGGTTATGAGGAAGTCGTAAAGCGGCGGTTTTATTCTATATGGGTCGGTTATTTCGGATTCGTTTATGTTTGATTGGTATAAGTTACATTGGATGAGGTTGCGTTGTATTGGCTTAGGTTGGGTTGAGTTAGGTTAGGTTAGGTTGGGTTGGGTTAGGTTAGGTTAGGTTGCGTTGGGTTGAGCTAAGTTGGATTAGGTTTGATTAGGTTGAGTTAGGTTAGTTTAAGTAAAGCTTGGTCGAATTTGGTTATGCTTCTGAAATTAGCAGTAGTAACAGTAGTGGTTGTTGTTCTTGTTCTTGTTGTAGTGGTTTTAACTTTAGTGATGACTGATTCTTATGCTATAAAGTAACATAACACGTTCACCATTCTCTTTTGTTAAAATCGACGCATATCGTTGAGTCCTATGCAGATTCTATAATATTCACCTGAAAACGTTTCAATTCATTTGAGATTTCAGATTTTTCGTGAATGAGTAGGACGTCTTCTTGAATGTTGTGTTTTGTGATATGTTATGAGTATGCGCTCTCTTCGGGGATGGTTGCTGCCTCCGTTGTCATCGCTCTCATGACGAAGGCAGCATGCACTTTTGTAACGTCACTGACATTCTACTAGACGGTGCAACAGCCCAGCAGACAGACATATTTATAAGAGTCCGTCCTTGTGTGAAGACTATAATGCTAAACTGCTCTAGATACACGATGTCATTCAACAGAACAACAATTTTTGGAAGCCGCTAATAGGTTGTCTGTTACAAGTATCCATAAAATTGTAGTTAAATAGCCCCAATTATTTCAGAGTGAAGAAATGTGATTGGTTGTGTGCTTAAATGTTAAAGCCGTGAAAAAGTGTGGACAGCCTTAAAAGAATGAAACGCTCAAGTTTACAAACGTAGTTTCGTAGGTAGTAAAAATCACCATTCCAAACTTCTTTATGGGATCCCTCTCTACCACGCCTGGGGGTTACTCGACGTCTGCTTCAAAACGCTTCTCCTGTGAAGTATCCAGTCTGCGCTGCAGTTAAGTATACTCAGCAACGCCACTCACTCTTCGCCAAAGCTTCTAAATAATCCTATCCGATCTGAAGAGGTCGTCGTGGAATAAATACAGCCCGCTGCTACCTTGTTCGCTCGCCCGAAAATGCCAACGACAGTTTCATCAACAATTTGGTCACTGGTCTATTTTATTCTCGAACGGGAACTTCATGTTATTATGCATATTATGGTAGAACGCAATGCACTGTGTCAGGAATCGAAAGTAATAATTGTCCAGACACTGTACTGCGCTAACATATTGTCTGTCTTTCTAGCAAGTTTAACTTTTGGTTACTGAAAAATCGTCCTTCGGCGCCTAGGCGTAAATGGGAAGATAATACTAAAAAGAAATTGTAGAATGAATTGAACTGTCTCAGGTCTGATTCCAATAGGAAGTTTGCATGAACAGAGCAATAAACCTTTGGGTTCCATAAAAGTATGGAATTTCTTGATCAGTTGAATATGTCAGGGTATCCTATACCATTGTACGAGGTGCGATCGGAAAGTTTCAAGACTGCGCGTATAAAAACCCGTACACTTATCTCAGGTATTAAATTCATCCATCACCCTCGAAGTAGTTCCCCTGGGAGTGAACACAACGATCCCAGCGCCGCTGCCAAGCCTGGAAGCATCCCTGGAAATCTTTCTTTGTCAGCCGGTCAAGCACCATCTGCGATTCTGCCTGAATCTCTTCTATCGTCTCAAATCGCCTTCCCTTTAGCTGAATTTTCATCTTTGGAAAGAGGAAGAAGTCACACGGAGCTAAATCCGGCGAATAAGGAGGGTGCGGGATGACGGCCAGGGTGTTTGAGGCCAAAAACTGCCGAACTTTGAGGGCGGTGTGCGCTGGCGCGTTGTCATGATGCGTCGCATGTGGAGTTCTTCCTTTAGAACCAGCTGCCAGGTCCCATAGCCTATCCCAACAATGCCGCACAAGTCGTTGATGGTACGACGTCGATCTTCGTAACATTTTCGGGCGTTGTGCTCGAAGATGGTCGTCCAGAACGCTCGTCATCATCGACAGAGGTTCGGCCATTTTTAAAACGTGAATGCCACACAAAAGTTGGTGCACGACCCATTGCGGACTCCCCAAATGCTTGCTTGAGCATTTCATAGGTTTCCGTAGCCGTTTTGGCAAGTCTTTGGCAATCGCCCTCTATTGACACAGTCTTGAAACTTTCCGATCGCACCTCGTATTATTACACCTAAGATAAGCCCAAAGCTGACCACGCACGTCGGATTATCCTTTTATCCTATGTAAAATGCTGTTCTGTGGCAACACAGGCAGCTGTCAACATTGTCCATTCAGGGGGTCTCGAGCCGATAATGCGGTTGACACAAGAGCTCCTTAACCCAACACTGTCTGAGCCTTCCTTGGTGTGAAGCATAGAGGTACTGACGGACTTTTTCACTACCGGACGCACTTAACATTTCTTCTGTGACCTCTGCAACATTCAGTTTTGTGTGTGGATGCACAGTGTCCTCTCTTTACAAAGATTCGCATTACGAAATTTCGATCGCGTGAACTTTGCAGTTCGCCTAACACTCTGCCTTGGCGAGCGTCTTGTGAAATATTTTGCTGTTCTTATAAGTATTTTGTGGTCTACGAACTATCAATAAATGCTGATAAGTGCAAAGTTTTACAAATATAAGTTTATTTTTTGGGTTTTTTTAATGACACGAGTAATAATTTAAAATGTTTCCTTTGCTTGTTCGTTTCGTTTCAGGCTATGGAAATTGTTTATTTATTCTTTTCGTTTCTCGACCTTCGTATGACCTAAATTTTACTGTCCAAGCGACAGAACTTATTAATTGGCATGTGGACAACCGCCATTGCGTAGACATTTCTTAACCGAAAACGTCACGTTGACATATTTCACATGATGTAGCCATCAGTTTTCAAGATTTTATGAGGAAAAGAACCTACAGACTTAACGTGCATTTATCCATGAATTTCACAACAGCACGTCTTTCATTCAAGTGTGTCTCAGACGAATAAACTCCGGTTCAAATTCTCTTGAAAGAGAATTCATATTCATTTCTAAACACGATGTATTAAATGAGATCAGTGAACAATACAATACACCCCCTGCTAAGTTGTGAGGAACATATTGTGTGCCTTATATTATAACAATAAATCGAAACCACACAATGTGGGGTTATTGTGCGGATTCCTGGTATGTCATTCTGTTTGTGTAGACTGTGGGACCTGTCATTCAGCTCTGTTCTGACGCAAAATCACATTTCGTAACCTCAGGTCTCAGAAACCACAGCTTAATTCAAGGCCGTGTGAAATGATGAAGAAGATATTGACATACAGTTTCCGACAGACTTTAAAAATATCAAATAAAAGATTTGTAATGTATTAGTTTTTAATTTCTTTTAATGTAGGCCTACCTTGATTTGTGGTTCAATATAAGCTGCATTTGAAAAAATGAGGTTTTCTTAGCGGTAAAGACGTTGATGTTGGTTTTACAGAACATCACCAGGATGTGCAAAATTAAATGAAGATGCTTGCAGATATAAGAAATAAGAGGTCATTAGTATTTCATTGTGTGTGTTAGGGACTTATATACAGGTTGATACACGAGAAACGTGTGAAGTGGGTTAGCTTGGTTGAACGCTGTAACTAAGAACAGCTAAGTACAGAACGAATGAAAAGAGAAAAGTTTTCAATGATTTGTATTGAATAATTTAAGAAGAGGAAGTGAGGAAAAACGCTGTCTTGAGTAGAATTGACGAAGTATTAACAAACAGGCAGATAAGAATGGCAAATTGTACAAATGTTGAATTACAGAACACACGCGAATATCTGCATAAGAATAAAGCCTTGGGGGCGTTTATACAAGGCTGTGGTCAGCAATATCAGACAGAGTCTTCTGTTATGAGAACTCAGTTCAATAAATAAATCAATAAAATTAACGAATCATTACACAGGCTGATTGGTGACGAAGCATGTAGCTGTACTTCTTTGATTCTCTTTAGCCATTATCCTCAGAGACATACAACACAACAGAACCAGTAGGCAGCAGTTTTCATGGGCCACTGCACCCCCATTATGTGTTTCTCCACGGGAGTCCCCCAAAATACAAGTTTACGACCGACCTCTATTTCTTATTCAGCAAACACCGGATCCCTCTTTACAAGTATCCAT